GTTGCTCGACCACAGTGTGGTTCCTTTTGTCAAGACGACAGACATTATCAGGAGTGCCTATCTTGCAAAGCCCCAAACCCCTTTCTCCCCATCTCAATCTTTGCTTCCCCTAATGATGCCCCCCCCCCAAAAAAAACCCACACACACAAAAAAAAACCCCGGTTCCCAGAAGAAGAACCGTCACAACATCATCTGCCCCGTGCTGAGAGTGAGCCTAATTGTTTTTGTTTTATTTGGCCCAGTGCTCATTCCTAAGAAAATGGCACCGCATAATAAAATAATTGTGGACGAAAGGGTGGAAGGAAACACACATAAAGAGCTCCCTGTGAAAAACTTGTAGAGATTATGTTTTGAGCTTATCTGTTCAAAGGGGGATATGGGGTAGGGGGCATTTACACAGTCAAACTATTTTAAAGCGTGTGAACATGATATGCACTTTGAATCATTAGCACGTATCACTTGCATATTTAGCCTTCTCTGTTGTTTTAAAATACACGTTCATAAAAATATTGAACACAAATATTGACTTGAATTCTTACGACGTGGTATTACATTTGTCGTATTTGGATAAGGCATATATCACCCTGCCTCTGTAACGTGGAGGGCCGGGTTTTTTTTCCTAAGAATAATACAGAGGATAAAAGAAAGCAGTCTAGACGAACAATCTCTCCTTTGAACTTAAGTGCTCCCCCTAACGTTTAATTAAAATTCAGTCTGGCTATCTTGACAAATCTTTACGCGCTGCAAAGCAGGGACATAAAGCTTGATTCGTATCGAAGATAAACATTAAGTTTGGCCACCTGTATCCAAAACATATCGCATACGCCTACAAGCCACACGAGGATAGCGGGCCAAGGAGATTTGGATTCCTCTGACTCAGAGCTCTGGGGATTCCTTCTCTTGTTCTCAGATCTCTTCAACCCCACTCAACATTAGAGACACTGCTGGCACTAGTCCTTGTGGCTATTAATAATCAATTGCGGTACGTATATGTGCATTCTCTTACACGTCGCTTTCTTACTTTTCCCCCTCCTCTGTCGCTCTTCGCCCAAGCCACCCCCGCGAGACGAGGCACGGGAGCTTAACTTATTTGTTCAATAGCTCCGTCCGTCGTTGGTGCTTAAGAATTTCTGAGGACTCGGGCGAGAAACCTTACGATAAGAGAAGGGAGCGGCGGTGCCAGAAAGAGAGAGTAGCTTGCTAGAGCGGTGCCAATCTCTATTCTATCATTTGACTGATCGAAAGTAGTTCCAACCTGTCGTAGTCCACTGTGAATCGATAGTGAAGCAACTGCTGTGGGCATGGAATGTTAGTGTTCACAATAAGTTTTTATTCAACGCTGGTCTCGTTCCAAGAGTTTGAAAAATCAGGTACGATTTAATTATGTTCCCTGGGGGAAATTGGAATTGGTGCGATTGAATGTGAAGTGAGCTGCCTTTCAAGTTTTGACAGTCGGGCGTGCATTTCCAAAGCCAGGTTTATCGACTAGCATGTAGCCTGCTAACAGGACTTGTTGCGGTGATAATGTGACCTGGCTGGTAAAATTGTTCTGAATTGTTACTTGCTTGTCTTAATCACTAACCTTGTAGACAAAAAACAATTTTTTAAAATTGATAGACGACGCAAATGGTAAGTTTTTAGTTTTTGTTCTTTTTCCGAAATAAATGTCTTGAGCTTTGATTTAATTATAAAAATGCTACTGTCTTAAAGTAAAAAATGTTATGTCTTTCCAAATCTATTTATCTCTTCGCTTTCCCTCCCTCCCTCCTCCTCCTCCTCCCCCCTCTCTCTCTCCCTCCCTCCTCCTCCTCCTCCTCCTCCTCCTCTCTCTCTCTCATAGGGAGAGAGTGTGAGCAGTCCCTCTGTAACAAATCAAATAACTTTTTAATGTTGCTGTATTACGCCACCATCCGCAAAGTTTAGATTATTCAGGAGGCGAGTTTCAGTCAGGCAGACAGGGATACACAGCATCCCGGAAGAAAGACCGACGTACTCGATAAAAATTCTACACACGTAAGAATCGAACTCGGGTCTCCTGCGTGCGACGGCGAAGCACTTAACCCCCTACACCCCTGATATCAGTATAATGTGTGCTTACGTATCTAGGCATCTAAGGCCACCAGCACATAAAATACATGTTTCCTCGCCTCGGTGAATACAATGCCAGTATTTTTTCGGTGTGACTTCGTTCGCAATATTGGCATCGAGAATCAATAGATGAGATACACCAATGTCCACTTTTCGCATAATGTCCTTCCCCTCAACCCCCCCCCCCCCTTATGTAATTCTGGCGGACCAGAAAAATAACAAAATTCTCTAAGATTGTAACATCAAAAGAAAGGAAATCATGAGGCAAAAGACACGTTATTGTTCAAAATGAGATATTTGTTAGTCCTCCTCTTCTGCACAAAACGACATTATTTTTTCTCGAAAAACAAATTACCAATTGCAAATGAATCGAGAATAAAAGTGTGCAAGATTCACACACCTCATTTACCGAACTGGCATTGTACCTTTGGAATACAGTAAAATAGTGTAGGGAGAAGGTGTAAGTGAAATGCAACTTCAGCTCAGACGTTATTGGCCTGCACCAAACCCAATAAAATATCTGGGAAGAATCATTGTAAGAGCCAACTTTCACAACATCAAAGTACAATACCAGAGGCGAAATTTATCACGTGTACATGAGAGTACAACAGGCACAGATATGAGAAGTAAACTATGCGTACACATGTGGCGAGTCGCTATTTATGATGTATTGTCTAGCGTTATCTGTGGGTCTCTCCCAATAATAAATGTAGCAACATGCAAGTAGGAAGGATCACACTTGATGAAGGCGGACTTGTCATGATAACGGAGAAAGGACATGGCCTTTCTTCTCCCGAGGATGTGGTGGCTGCAGTAGATGGTAAGCAGACATGGGG